TCACAGAGGTGGGGATGGGGGAGAGGGTCGCTGCTACTTCAAGGCCTGGGTCCGGCCAGTGGGTGGCTGTGGTGAGGGCTCTGGAGTCCTGCAGGACACAGCCCTCAGCCTGTCCCCGGCTCCCCAGCTCACCCGCCAGCCCAAGGCCAGGGGGCCTGGAGGGCCCCAGGGAGAAGGCCGAGATACGCCTCTCACGGCACTCTCTGCCCCGAGGAACACTGCATGCAGACTGTTGGCAGAGCGGGACCTCTAACCGCCAAGTGCTAACGGTCGTGGGCTAATAGCTGTGCGCTTGCCCCGCCGCTATTACATAACACAAAAGAAGACTCACAGATATAGAGAACAAGCTACTGGTAGCCACTTGGGTGGGGGGGGGGCAGGAGGGGCAATATAAGAGTTGGGGAGTGCGAGGTACAAATTATTTGTTGTAAGGCAGGCTCAAGGATGTATTATACCAACACAGGGAATACAGCCAATACTGTGTAATAACTAAATGGAAAATAACCTTGTAAAATTGTATTAAATTTTTTAAACTTAAAAAGTAAAAGATAACATAAGAAAAAATAGGCAAAAGGTTTGAATAAACATTTCACATACAATGACCAGTAAGCACATGAAAAGATACTCAACATCATTGCTAGTCATTAAGAAAATGCAAATTAAATTCACAATGAGATACCACTATATACCCATTATCAAAAAGACTGACCATACCAAATTTGGGCAAGAAATGTAGAGAAACTGGAACCCTAATACTTTGCCAGTGGGAATGTAAAATGGAATAGCTATTTTGGGAAACAGTTTGACTATTTCTTAAAAAATTAAACATAAACTTTCTACATGGCCCAGAAATTCCACTCCCAGGTACCTATCTACTCAAGGGGAATGAAAATATATGTATACATAAAGACTTATATGTGAATGTGGAAGTAGAATTATTCATAATACCAAACCTGGAAGCAATCCAAATGTCCATCAGCTAGTAAAGGAATGAACAAAATGTGATATATCTATACAATGGAATATTATGCAGAAATAAAAAGGGAACAAACTACCAATACATGCTAAAACATGGGTAAGCTTCAAAAACTTTATGCTAAATGAAAGAAGCCAAACTCAAAAGACCACATATTGTATGATTTCATATGACACTTCCAAGAAAGGCAAATCTATAGAGAAAGCAAACAGATCAATGGTTGCCTGGGAACAGAGATTGACTGCAAATGGAAACAATGGAATTTGGGGCGAAGATGGAAATGTTCTAAAACTGGACTGTTGTGATGGTTGCACAGCTCCATAAATTTAAAGTTAGGTAAGTTTATAATAGGTGTATCTTTTTAATAGGTGTATTTTTATGTGAATTATACCTCAAGGAAGCTGTTACAAATAACACACAATAAAACAACACTATGTATTTCACAAAGACATGTTTACGTAAGGAACCATATCAAATGCATGAGAGTGAGGGGGGGTAATGAGAGTGGAGATGGACAAATGACGAAAACATTAAAGAAAGGATTGTTGCACATGGTGAGAATGTGCCGAGAACTGGGGAATGTGATTATCTCAGCTTTGTCCTCCACAGTCTGAAAGAGAAAACAAGGAAGCTGTCACCAGTGAAGCTTTCAAAATTACTAGTAGAATGAGGAAAATAATACTTATAATTATAAAATGCTTTACTGTTTAAAAGCTCACATACATTTTCTCATTTAATTCTCAAAACAGCTCTGTTAAATAGGTATAACTATCTCCATTTTACAGATGAAGAAACCAAATTAGACGTGGTGTGGTCACACAACTAGTGGCTACTAGTAGCTAGTAGCACATAGCTTGGAGACTTAAACCCAGTACTTTTCCCATTGTCATCAGAGAACACTGCCCAGATCAAACTGGTCTTCCCTGACAACTCCACCATCATGTTTACACTAAGAGATCCTACCCCCTTTACTTTGCTTATCCAATCAGACTCTTCCCCAGACATTTGGAATTGGACAATAGTGAGTCTCCATGACTACACACACTGAGAATATATAAACCCGGGGGTTGTGGAGTGGCTGTATTTCTTAACAAGGTACATGGAAAAGAGAGACAACTGGCCTTAAAGAAAGAAGAACGCAGCGGATTCAGTGACAAAAGGCCCTGTGGCCACCGAGGCAAACACACATTCACACTGTGGTAGCCATGGAGAGGTGCCGCCGAGATCCCCCTTCGAAGAACTTGATACGAGCCACAAGAAGTGCAGTCATCAGCCTCCAGCTGTCAGCTCCAGCTGCAGAGAAGCCTACTGCCCAAGATCACGCCCTTTCTGGGGCAGCCTGCATCAGGTGACTGAGTGGGGTCAGATATAAAGCATGGAGCGGTTCCGCCTGATGCAGGACACTCGAAAGAAAACGCTTTCTCCAGAGCTACCCGGATTCGTCAGACCTGCATCACATCTTAAATTCTCTCTTTGACCTATCCTGTTTCCTCCTCCTTCCTTTCACAGGCATTGAACCCTAATAACTCCTATCAGCATCTGTTTCTCAGTAACCCAACATGCAACCCATCACAACACATGCCCACAGGATAAAATTCAGGCTTCCAGGCTTTCTGGTTCCTGCTTCTTGTGTGGGCCCAGCTGCACTTCCACTTTCCAGCCTTTATTTTAACCAGGCTCAGGTGCGAACAAAGGCTTTGACCAGATCATGAATTTTGTTCGAGTACTGCCACTAATAGCCACGTAATCTTGAGCAAATCATTTTATTTCTCTGGGTCTTCACTTTCTTCCCTGTCCATTAAGTGGTCAGGAAAGGCCCTCCTAATCTTTACCCTATAGTCAACCAGCCACCTGATTACACACTGCCTGCTGAGCCACCAAAATGGTTTTAACCGTCCGTAATATACACTCTCTCATGGTATTTCAGTCTTAGCTTAGATGCTTTCCTAGAAAGTATCCCCAGCTTTCTAGCTGTTAAATTGAACTTAACTATGATTTCGGCAAAGGGCCAGCTCCCAAAGTGAGTAGGAGAGCTGCACCATGGATGCCTGGTGCAGGGCTGGGAGACAGAGATGATAGAGGATGGCATGAAGGTTCAATCCTATACTGCAGGAGCTGGGCTTGTCCCTCTACTCCATTGAGGTAGAAAAGGGAGGGAAAGGGGTTTGAGGAACTGGATAGGAATTCAACGATAGCCCCACAAATAACTTCATCCCCCCGTCCCTGCCATGTCTGTCCCTGCAGGCAATACCCTTGCTCTATACTCCAACAACCCAAAGTTCTCTCCGGCAGGACCACTCAAATTCCCCTTTTCCTTCAAAACTGCCATTTAACAACATCACAACCTCTGATACCTCCATCAAAACTACAGTCCTAAAGTGCTGATTGTTTAACTTAGTTAAGTGACTAGCTGCGATACTCTCAAGAATCCTTACTGGTTTAACGATATTCCCTCCAGTGACTGTGAAAAAAACACACAGATTACAAGAACAAATGTAGGAAAATGACAAATATCCAAAATACCCCAAAGCGTCTTTGCTTCTGGTGTCTGATTTGTAGTTTCACAACTTCCTCTGTGATTTTAAATAGACATCCGTTATTCTCATGGGAATAAACACTTCCTCTTGTTCTCATGCCCCAAATGTTGTCTTTAGCAAGGCCACATGGATTCTTTCTGTCATTTAGCCCCTATTCCTAGTATAAACATGTAATCTGGCCTGCAAATCTGAGACAGGTGGGACCTGGGACCCTTTGCTGCAGTGCTTGCACCTGGACAAAGAGTAACAGAATACAAAGAAACTATAAGGGACTAAAAATAACTGTGTGCAGGTGCAGGTGGGGCAAATTAAAAACAAGAAGATACAAAAAGACCAAAAACCCAACTGCCACTTCTCAGGAGTCTGCAGCAAAAGCAGGGTACTGCACTTGCACCCTGCACACAGCACCACCAAGGAGATAGGCAGACCACCTAAGCCACCCCTCAGGTGGACTCCTGACCCACCCCTATCCTCACCGCATGTAAAGGAACCAGCTCCCTCCTGCCCCACCCCACGAGCCAACAAAGGCACCTGTTATTTGTTTTCGCTCCCTTGTGCTGCAGCACTAGTCCCAATAAACTCTTGCCTGATTTTCTTATCTGGCCTCTTATCAATCTCTATTGATTAAGGAGTCCAAGAATCCTGGTCGGTAACACGGTTACCAGTCAGGCTCTTTTTGACTCCATGGGTAGCTGGCACCTCTAAGTATATTGACAAAACACTGTCCATATGACTCCTTTGCAAGCCTCTTCCTCGTAACCCATAAAAAAAATTTTACGAAACTTTCCCAACTTACTTCAATGCTCCTTCCAGTGCTACAGTATCAGTGGAGCCCCAACTAAGGTTTCAAAATTTCCTCATTCTGCTCACCCATTCAAAATTCCCATTCCCTGATGAACATGTGAATGAGTGATAACAGTTAAATGCCCTGCAAACCATAACAGGATTTGAGGGATTGGCACAAAGCAGCCCACAGCTAAAAATCCATTTCTTTGAAGTCTCCTTATGCAGAGAGAAAAATATGAATCTCACAGACATTACGTAAAGATTAGGTGAAAATGCCTAATGCTCAGTATGTAATATTAATTTTCAAAAGTAACTGAAACGGATGCCAGGCTAGTTTTTGTTTTCTGTGTTTTGGGTTTTTTTTAAGATGTTCTAGTCCTGGGGGTTGAATTTTTGGCCCAGTCTTTAAATATGTGAGATATATATATATATATATATCTCTCTCTCTCTATATATATATATATATATATATATATTCTCTCTCTTAGAATCCTGTAAGATGCTGTAAATGGGGAACTGGCTGATGCCGGCTGTTACGGACAAAGAAGTGAAAGAATTAAAGTTCATGCCCTCTTTCCTACCTGAAACCTATCAGGATTCCCAATAATAATAGCGACCATATGTTGAGTTTCATCACTGCTAGCTTATTTCCATGCATGATTACACTTAATCATCAAAATAAACCGAAAGATTTGTAATACCATCGTCTCTGGAGTACTGCTGAAGAAACTGAAGCATGGAGAGGCGTAATATCAGGGGTTTCTTCCATTTTCATGCAAGTTCAGAACAGATTAGGGTGGTCTTCCAAATACAAAGCTGTGAGGGTCCCACTTCTCCCCCCGCCCCGGCGCGGAGACGCTCTCTTTAAGCGGAAGCGTGTGGCCACGTGCATAGGGCGCGGCCTCCCCAAGGGAGGGGTTTGGCGAAACCCCGCCCCGAAGGCGGGATGACAGTGGGCGTGGCCTCACGCGGAACCCGTAGGATCTGTGCCGGACTGCAGCAAGCCGTAAAGAGCTCCACGAGTCGTGAAGCGGCAATGTGCGGAAGCGTTGCTTTACGACTGTTTGGATAGACGCACTGGGCCGGCGTTTTCTGCTTGCTACTTCTCTGATCCACACGTGGGCCGCTGTCGGTGTTGTAGCCAGAAATTCATTCCTATTGGCGTGGACCAGCCATATTGAAGGACAGAGTGGCAACGGAGGTCAAGGATCTTGAGCTGATGGAGTTTGCTGCTGAAAATGGGGAGACGTCGGGAGGAGGTCTCCAGAGTGGAGCTGAAGGGGCGCGGCTACGTCTCGAGTCAGATGGAGAGAGAGCCAGGGGCACAGTAGGGACCGAGGAGGCCGGCAGTGGAGAGGCGGGGAATGGACCGACCGGAATGGGGAAGACAGGGGAAGGGGAAGAAGGAAATGGACCAAGGGCAGAGAAGATGCGAGTGGACCTAGCAGTTGTGAAGCAAGAAGTAATGGACTGGTCAGAAATGGAAGAAGGTATGCGGAATGACCAGTGGGTAAAGCAGGAGGTGGAGGATGCGCCTGAGGTGAAAGAGGAAAAACCAGGCACGTTGGAGGTGAAGCAGGAGACGGATAGTAGTTTGATGCTAAAAGAAGAGAAGGTGGAAGAACCAGAGCTAAAGGAAGAGAAAGTGAAGGTGAAGGAAGAAGTGATGGACTGGCTAGAAATGAAGGAAGAGAAGAAAGATAGCTTGAAGATTAAAGGGGAGGAGATGTTTCTTGATCAGAACGTAAAGAAGGAGGAAATAATGGATGAAGTGTGTGTAAAAGAAGAGAAATATTTCCCTAAAGAAGAAGTGATGGATGATACAAAGGTGAAAGAAGAGCCTCAGATAAATCCCCCAGTGGGCTCCAAGCGGAAACTGGCCATGTCAAGGTAGGGCAAGGAGAATTCCATTGGGGGAATAAAGCTATGGAATTCTCTGTTGTCTAGACTGAAAGAAATTACACTACCAGAAGGGTGTGGAATAATGATAAATAAGTGCCAGTTTGGGTCCCTGGAGCCTGAATGATGGGGGGAAGGGCGATTGGGAAGGGAGGGTTTTGTCAGATGACAATAAATTCAGTGAAAATATGTGAGTTGGTACTAGTGTCCAGTGGCCAAGTTAGGAAGTGAAAATTCTTGGGACCAGAAAGCCCTTGTACCAGAATCTGGCTTGACTTAATATGCTCTTGGCTCAGTATTCTTTTGAGAGAGAATAGGTGTGAGGAAAAGTCTAATAAAACCAACAAGGGTAAAGTGGAGTAAGTTAAAATTAGACAAAATACACTTGAACTCACCCAACCGTCTAGTTTCTCTATGGGTACTATGAATATTTATTGCTTTTGATTTAATTTCCTTACAGTGTGATAATGAGGCAGCATAGGAAATAAGAGTAGTCAGTTTCTTGGGATTGTCGCTGTCTCGAACACAGTAAAACAGAAGTAGCTGTAGTTTGATTGTCAGTATCCCAAGATCCTAAAAGAACAGTTGAAGACAGATGCTGGATAATAGCATTTCTAGATTATTTTGACGCCCATTCTAGGTTGGGTGAGGAGTTGAGAAAGAAAGATGCAACTGCTACTCTCTAAATTTGCCTGGGTCTTATATCTTTTTCTGGTGTGTCTGCCTTTGAGATAAATAAACATAGCTCATGGATTGGACTTTTGGGTATGTGCACGCACACAATTGTTAACAGTGTCAATAGTTACAAGTTAAAATATCGAATGATCTCATTCTCAGATTATAGTAGGAAAGGAAGTCAAAGTGAGATGATTTTTTTTAATTGAATACGTGTTTTCTTGAATTACGTATCATTAACAACATTGTAAATGTAGTTGTCATTTCCTAGAGGAGAATTTTCTAATGATGTTTGACAGCTATCAAGTATTTCATAAGAGTTACTTGCATCTACTTTATTCACTATGATTACATGTCTGGAAATTGATTGTGATAGTAATTGACTCAGCATTAAAAGTTTATAAATAAACATGTAAAATTAATATTTGATAACTTATCAAGTTTCATGTGGGCTTTTGTAGATGTGAAACTTGTGGTACAGAAGAAGCAAAGTACAGATGTCCACGCTGTATGCGCTATTCCTGCAGGTATGTATGTCATTTCCTACCCTGTTATCTCTGCCTGTATCCTTTTTACCTCAAAGTGTAAAAGTACCTCCTCTTTTGTCTCTTCAGTTTGCCCTGTGTAAAGAAACACAAAGCAGAACTGACATGTAATGGAGTTCGAGATAAAACTGCATATGTTTCAATGCAACAGTTTTCTGAAATGAATCTCCTAAGTGGTAAGCCATCTTCTGCATAGCCGATTGATGCTTCCTGGCCATTGGCATATATCATTTGTTTATTTTTCTATTTCGATATTTGTAGATTATCGATTTTTGGAAGATGTGGCAAGAACAGCAGACCATATTTCTAGAGATGCTTTCTTAAAAAGACCAATAAGCAATAAACATGTAAGTATTTCTTCTACTCCCTTCCAGTTAGAATTTCTTCTAATGAATTAGATTCTTTTTTTTTTTTTCACTCATCAAATATATTAAGTTACTAGGGATACAGCAGTGACCAAAACAAAGTCCTTCTCCTCATGGAGCTTGTATTGTAGCAGGAGAGACAGGAGATGAGTAGAGGAACAAATATAATTTCAGGTAATGTTAAGTGCATCTGGAAGATAGGACACAGGAAATTAAAGAAAATGAAAATGGTGTTTGTTTGCTGGGGGAGGAGGGTGTTATAAGGGTACTATTTTCCGTACAGTAGTCAGGAAAGGCTTCTCTGAAAGATGACATTTAAGCAGCAGTCTGAATGATGAGAAAGAGGCAGTCATGTGAAGGTTTGGAGAAAGACTTTCCAGGTAGAGACAAAAGCAAAAGTAAAGAATGAGTCAGGGGCTTCCCTGGTGGCGCAGTGGTTGGGAGTCCGCCTGCCGATGCAGGGGACACGGGTTCATGCCCCGGCCCTGGAGGATCCCACGTGCCGTGGAGCGGCTGGGCCCGTGAGCCATGGCCGCTGGGCCTGCACGTCCAGAGCCTGTGCTCCGCGACGGGAGAGGCCACAGCAGTGAGAGGCCTGCGTATCGCAAAAAAAAAAAAAAAAAGTCAGGGATGAAGTTAGGGTGTTTGAGGAGTTAAAAGAGGGGCAAGGTGACAAGCGTAGTTGAGTGAGGAGCATGTAGAATGGAGGTTAAAGAAACTAGTGAGGGCTCCTAATGTATTCGAAGTAAAAATGGAAGCCATGGGTGGACATTGAGCCTGTTTGCTTTTTGAAAGATCACTCTTGCTGCTCTCTGGAAAGTGGACTTGAGTAGGCAAGAGTGGAAGATTGGAAGCTGAGAGACCAGTTATAAGGCTGCTGTTGTGGTTCTAGTCAGAGAGGATGCTGTTAGAATTATTGGGAAGTGATTACACTTGAATTTTGAAGGAAGAGCTAACAGGACTTGCTGTTTTAATATACTTAATTTTCATACTTTCATCCCTTTTTCATTCCTTATGCACTATGCAAAATTAAAAACTTACATATTTGAAGTATTTTGCAACTGCTATTGTTCTAAAATAATATTATTAAATCACATCATGGAATTATGTTCATTTTTCAATACCATTTTGGTATTGGAGTTGCAGAATTTTAGTACCTTTTAAACAGTTTATTTTATTGGTGTTTTTGGTACAGACATGACATTACCCACATCTGAAAGAAAAATTACCATGCACCAAGTCTTTTTTTCCCTCAAGCTTAATTAGACATAATTAAATTCTACTTAAAAGATAAATTACTTTTTAAAATTTTTTTTGTGAAATATGACATGCATATATAAAAGCATAAAATAGAAATACACTTTTTTTTTTTTTGGTTACATTGGATCTTCATTGCTGCACGTGGGCTTTCTCTAGTTGCGGCGAGCAGGGGCTGATCTTCATTGCGGTGCATGGGCTTCACATTGTGGTGGCATCTCTTGTTGCGGAGCACAGGCTCTAGGCGCATGGGCTTCGGTAGTTGTGGTGCACGGGCTCAGTAGTTGTGGCTCACGAGCTCTAGAGAGCAAGTTCAGTAGTTGTGGCGCACAGGCTTAATTGCTCCGTAGCATGTGGGATCTTCCCAGACCAGGGCTCGAACCTGTGTCCCCTGCATTGGCAGGTGGATTCTTAACCACTGCGCCATCAGGGAGGTCCAGAAATACACAATTTAATGAATAATTATGCAGTAAACATCCATGTAACTACCACCTAGGTCTAAAATTAGAACATTACCAGCTTCTCAAAAGTTCCTGCCACCAGCTTATGCCCTTTCCTGAACCATTCTTATTTCTGGATTTTCTGTAATAAATGGACTCTGGGTTTTCTAATTTTAGAAACAGTGAACACTTCTGTTTAGGAATTGTGGTTTGCTTATACATATGTTTTTCTGGGGTTTATACCTAGAAGCTGAATTGCTTTGTTGTGGCGTATGCATATCTTCAATTTGACTATACGTTACCAAAACATTTTCCAAAGTGGTGATACCAGTTTATACTCACAGTAGTGTTTAAGTGTACCTGTTGTCGCATCCTCTCCAATACTTGACTTGGTCAGAGTTTCTGAGTTTTTGTCAGTTTGATGGCTGTGTTATTTTATTATGATTTTTAATTTGTAGTCTGATTCTTAAAGAGATTGAGCACCTTTCAAATATTTTATTGGCCAATTGGATATTCTTCTTTGTGGTATGCCTGTTAAGTCTTTTGTTCATCTTTTCATTCGTCAGTTGTTTTTTCTTACTGGTTTGTAGTAATTCTTTGTATTTTTAGATGCTAGTTGTTAGTTGGTTGTATGTGTTATAAATTCCTTCTTTCATTCTGTGGCTTGTCTTCTTACTCTCTTTA